GTAAACCTCTATGCGTAAACATCTAGATATCCCCCTTTTTCTCTATATAAAGGAAAAACAAGAGTAATAGAACTAGAAACATGTTGCTCTTACCTTACTTACCTTGTACGCTGTGTACACTGTACACCACTCTTACTCTTGCTACTTAAGTGCTTATACTATAAGCAGCTAGCTGTTAGAGCCTATTCAACATTAAACATGTTTTAAAAAAGTAAAGAAATATATAGTAAAAAATTAAATTATCCTAGTTTAAGTTAAACTTTTTTTAAAAAAAAAAGTAACTTAATAAATTAAGTATAGCTACTTTTACTTTATTTTTATCTTACTTAAGGTTTTTTTAATAAGAGGTGTTTAATAGCGCGATCGAAATAAAAAGATAATATAGCTTATTTAGACCTAAAAATTTTTATTTAGACTAAGTAAAGCTATTTTAGTATAGAATAGCTTACTAGAGTTAAAAAAAAGAGTTATTTTAACCTAAAGAAATTTACTATGTAAAAGAAATAAACATTTTAGCCTAGAATAACTTATACTAGTAAAGAAAAAGTAAAGTTTAAGTCTAGTAAAACATTTTAAAATTTTTAGAATAAAAAAGCTATAAAGTAAGTAAGCTAAAAGTAGATTAATTTATTAATACTAAAATAGTTACACTTTAAGTCTAAAAAACATAATGTAAAAGTATTTAACTTTATTAAAAAAAAAAAGAAAAAAGCTTAAGCTAAAAAACTTAAAACTACACTATAATATGCATTCTTAACTATTTTTACTATAAAATGCGCTAAATTACAGTAGATTATGCTATTAAAGCCCTAGATTAGACATTAAGATCCTCTATAAGTAATTTTATAATAGTAAAATAACTATTAAGATATTTTTTATTATACCTAGTTAGCTACTTTTTTTTTAGCTAAAGTTTAATTTTAACTAGCCTTAGTTCTAATATTATTAGCCTTATTATACTTTTTAAAGATATAGTAGATTATATTAGCACCTTTAGCAGCATTAATATAATAATATTACTTAGCTTTAGTAATATAGACACCTTTAACACTATATTTCTTTTATTATACTAGTTAGTGCTAAAATAGTTAAGAATAGCGCATACTTACTTTTTTAAATAAAGTTATTATAGCTTTATTTTTAGTAAAGTCTTTTTAAGCGCCTTATACTTCTTTTTCTCTTTCTTAGTAATATTAGCGTTAGAGTAGGCACGCTTTTTAAAAACAACTTTAGTCTTAGTAATTTTACCTATAATACTACTATGCATGTACAGATAGTTATTGTACAGGATTTTATTTTTACTATAAACTATTAAGATCTAGAATAAGGCTAATTAAGCTAAATTATACAATAACAGAAAAACTTACTTCTAAAAAAACTAAATAATAGTATTTATTTATAATATAACTATTACATTAGCTTATGCTAACTAAGTAAAGTTAACTAAATTAATAAAAGCTAAAACATTAAGCATAGTGTTTTTAAAAGCCTATTATTTAAGTTTAAAAGAGATAGGGAGCTATCTAGGGTTAGCCTAGACAGACTATGTGTAAATATACTAGAAGGAGCTAGAATACACACATTAAAGCACTTTTTACTAGATTTAAAGTAATAAGCATATTTAGTGTACTTAATTTTTTTATACTATAATATAACTTATTATCTATAAGCATATAACAGCTACTACTTTTATTTATAATGCTTTTATAAGACATTTTATTAACATATTACATATAAAAGTTATTAAAGTGTAAGTTTATAGTAGTAAAAGTTAATTATTATTTTTAAAAAAAACTATAGCTAAATTATAATAAAGTAGGCTATAAAAGTCTATTTTAAAGTTATTTAGTAAAGTTAAGTATAAAAGAAGAAGCTAAGAGTAGATTAAGTAATATGTAGGCATAAGTAAAGTAAGATAAGACTATTAAAGCTTATTAGCACCCCTTTACACTAAATTACACTAAAGTAGCTTAAAATATACTTACTTTAAAAAGTTTAAAATTTTCTAAATTCTAACTTATAGAGAGGGTAAAAGTGTAAAAAAGATAGATTTCTAGAATAGTTAGACTTTATATATACTATCTTAACTACTACTTTATTAGCATAAGATATACTACTATTTTACTTTTACTTTTACTTTATACTTTTACTTTACCTTTACTTAATAACTTTAGCTTGTTTTTAAATAAACTTATATAAAATTAACTAAAAGAAGTAAAAGTAAGCCTTTAAAGTATTATATAACACTATATTATGCTACTTAAGCTTATTATTATCTGTTCTATCCTCTAAGTTGTAGGACTACTATAAGGGGGGATAATGTAAGGCTAGATGTCCTAGAACAGGCTAGTATAGCCTTACCTAGCCTGTTTAGAGGTTATATACCCTATGCTTTATATATAAGCATAAATCCTAACAAGTAAGGCTTAGCAGCAATTTGTCTCTCTTATAATACACTTCTACCTTTCTCTAAAAGCTTGCTCTTAGTGCTATCCGTGCTACTTACTATCCTATCTTTACATTTAACACACGCTGCCTATTACAGGCCTTGTAATATTAGTAATGCTTAAGAAGTGTATTATTCTTTCTATTATCTACTTATTCTAGCATAAAGTCTTAAAAGCATTATTAGACAGTTTATAACGCGTCTACTATGTACTGCAACTTCTTACACCGCAACATAGGACTACAACGCCGCGTAGAGGCGCTAGAGATTCTGCCTGCCTAGGTAAAGTTGCTAGAGGCACCTACATTATTATTATAGTCTATAGGTTAATCTAGCATAAACATATTTTTATTTTATTTAATTAAAAGGTTACTTGTTAGCTAAAAAAGCCTAGAAGGTAGGCTTAATAATAAAAAAAGGTTGCTAAATAGAGCTATAGTTAGCGCGTCTACTAGTGCGTCTGCTAGCGCGTTAGATAGAGTGCTAGCATTGTTTATGTTTAATATATATTGTAGAGCAGAATAAGCGCTTTATAATAATAGCAATTTTAAGAATTTTACCACAGTATTAGAGAGTAAAGTATGTAGTTAATAATAGTAATACTAATAGCTAATAAATAAATTAAGATAACGTACTTCATAGGCGAGTTGCTTACACACCTAAGTCGCTTACTTTTGCTAAGACCCTACCCTAACAAACTCTATTATAGCCTATAACAACCTGCTCTAGCACTATATAGTACAGTACAGCCTAGAATATTATTTAGATACTACTTCTACTTTTTACTTACATGTTTGCGTGTTATGCCTAGTCTAATTACACTATCTGCAGCGCCTTTAGAATAGCTTACCTACTTTAGCTTACACCTACTTCTTTACCTTCTTTCTATTACTGTGTGCTTTAAACTTCTTTAGAGCTGTTAAGTGTAGGCTTTTCTAAATTATTAAAGTCTTTTCTACCTTAATTTACTTTTTTTTATGTAATTTATGTTACATAGTAGCCTTATTAGCTACTTAAAGCTTAGTAATTTTTTATTATACTAACACTAGCTTATATATAATTATTACTGCCCTTTTTAAGACCTTTTTAAACACTTTAACTATAAAAGTTAGTAAACTATTTATATACTTTTAAATTCTTATTTTTATAAGCATTAATTATAACCTAAGTTTTAAAGTATTGCTTAAGGTTTGTAACTGCTAGAGCTTATTATATATAAGTAGTAGTAGTAATAGAGTGCATAACTTTACATTAAGGCCTATTATAACTTATTATAAGTTAAAAAAAACTAATCTAGCACTTTAGAACTCTTTTTAGATATTACTAGAAGTAATTATAGCATTATAGGCTACTTTAAAGCATAGTAGGAACTTTATTTTTATAATATAAGTAATTTAGTTGTGTATAAGGTTTTTAGCTTAGCGCTTATACACTTTTTTTAAAGAAGTAAAATAACCTACATTAAGTAGCTATAAAAGGTGTAATAAGTAAAAAGTATATAAATAGTAATAATTTTATTATCTTTATAGTATTACTAAAAATAAAGTAAGTTATAGCTTTTATAGCTGTTAATAACTAGTAGACAGTAGCTGCTAATAGTACACTTCTTTATATGCACATTAAAGTGCTTTAACTAGTCTAGACTAAGCTAATTAGTAGTCTAGCTGCGCTTAGAGATTATAAGAACCTAATTGTAAAATAAATTTTTTTTATACTAGTTTAAAAAGTAGTTGCTACCCTAAAAAATAATAAAAAGTAAAATAGCCTACTTTTTAGCATTAATGCCCTAGATAGCTGTTGTCTACTTCTAGTTGCCTAGCTAGACTGCTTTTAGCTGTCCTTATTTCTCTAAACTTGTAACAACTACTCTAGTAGATATTTAGCTTATTATAAACTCTATTTTATTAAAGTTGTATATATTATTATTTTAGATGCTATTCTTAGCTTTAATATTCTTTATAAAGTTAAACTAGCTTTAAATTACTGTAGGATTTTTATAAAAAGCTTTTTTATAGTTATACTTACACTTAAACTTTACTTTAAGCTTTAAGTAACACTTAATAAACATATTAGGCTAGTTTATGCTAATATAGCCTATATTATACTTAGCGTGTAAAGAATTAGCTATATTAGCTATAGCTGCTAGCTAGAGGGGAAATTCTTACATATTTAGCTTAAGTATATGCTAAATAATTACCTACTTTTTATTATTATCTAGCTTTTATAAGTTAGCTGTATAATTAGCTTAAAAAGGTTATCTAGCGCGTTAGTTACTTATTATTTTTTAAAAAACTTTATAAATAGCTGCAGCGTGTTGCTTAGAAAGTGTTATGTTTTATTTAAAAGCCTAAAGCATAAGCTATATTTAATGTTCCTTTAACATGTTTAAGTAGTGTTGTTAGAAATACATTAGTGTAGAAAAAGTAGTGTGGTCTTAGTAAAAGTAAGCAACTTAGGTGTGTAAGCAACTCGCCTATAAAGTACGTTACATATAAATAACTACTATTTTTCTTTTAACTCTTAGGATAGAATTACCTTTTTTCTGTTTAGTGTGTTTTAATTAGTTTAGAAGTTTCTAGAAGTTCTGTCTATTCCTAAATAAGTTAAGGGCGATTCTAGGTCGAGGGTCTGACTCGTGAGATAAAGCACATGCATAATCAAGCTTTCCGCTCATGCTCGATTAGTGTCCAGATGTCCTCATGATCCCTCGGCATTCCGTAAGGATAAGTAATTTAGCACACGCATGGTTCTGTCCCCATTCACGCTTGGCGAAAAGTCCAACGCTGTGGTGCCTCGTTACTAGTAGCTATCCGTTCGAAGATACAGTCCCAATTTACAGCCTCGCTCAGATCTCCAATCACATTCTTGAAGTCAGTCTGATATGACAAGGGTACTCGTTCACTGGATGTGCTGCTCCCTGCTCGACTTGATAAGCACGCTCACCTCGATACAATTTAACACCCTTCTTCGAATGCTGAGCATCCCACTCATCGTACGCTGGCTCTACCTCGAAGCCCCTAATCAAGCAAGCCAAAATGACTCTCAGCTCAATGAGCACTAGTGCTTGGCCAATGCAGTTCCTCGGTCCAAGCTCAAAGGGACGCCAAGCGCCGGGCTGAGGGTGCAACTCGTGACCGGCAGGAACAATCCAGCGCTCCGGCAAGAACTCATCGGGCCGGGGCCAGTACTTTGCTGAGCGATGCATTTCAACATGCAAGATCCAGAGTATGGCGTCGTCGGTGGGAAGTACGTTTCCAGTGTCGTCAGTAATGTTGACGCCAGGTTTACCGGCGCGGGTTGTACCAGCAGGCGCGAAGAGTCGCATAACCTCTTTGATCACAGCGAGGGTGTAGTGCAGGCTATTTACAACGCGGGGTTCCTGGGCGAGCTGAGAGGCCGCAGCTGCTGGATCAGAGCCTAGAACTTCATCGTGCTCTGCGCGTAGGCGTTCAAGTACCTGAGCTAGTCAACAAGGCCCTAGTTATTCACTATGTGATGCGGAACATACTTTGGGATGCTTGGATAAGAGATGAAAACAGTAGCAGATCACACTTCCTGTAGAGTCATACCCTGCGAAGATGAAGAGCCTGATCTGGCGAATTGCGAAAGCTCGGAAGTCGCGGTCGAGCTTTACAGGAAGCTTTTCGGAGGATTTGAGATATTCTTGGAGAGCTAGATCGATCACCGACTTCGAGTTGGAGCTTTTCGCCTCAGCCTTGTAGTCCTCATATCTCTTGTCCAGCTCCGCTCCAATATAGCGGTCAATCTGGCGACCATTCTTCCAGTGCACAAATGAGCGCACAAAATTGAGATGGCTGAAGGGGTTGACTTCCGCGTTGGGGCTGTGCCATCGAATCTGGCTGAGCATTCGGTCTGCGAGAGTGTTGTAACCTGTTTGTGCATTCAATGAGGTATTCATGGCAGTCCTTCCAATCATATCAATGGTGAAACGAAGTGTGATTGGATCTAGGAAGCAGATTTGCCCCTTCTCTGCAAGACCACGCAGCGTTCTAGCGAAGACTTGTACCTCTTCGACCATGCTTGGCACGAGGGAATACATCCGCTCACTGTGGAACCCCTTGTTGAAGACCGCTCGCCATGGCTTCCAGTCTTTCTCATCAAGGTCGAATATAGTCAGGCCACCAGTGATGGGTTTTAAGAAGCGGCGAAGTAGTTTGGGGCGTTCAGATGTGAGTTTTGGGTTTGTCTGCGTGATCTCGACGCCAATCTGTGGGGACACGACGGTGAGGAACAGACCACTCATTGGCCATAGATCCATATAGAAGGCTCCGGTTTCGTAGAACTTTTCTCGAGCAATTGTCCCAAAGCCGTACTGGTAATGTGCATCTTTCGGAAGGCGATCAAGAATAGACTTGAGGTACAGCAGATGCCCGAAAAGGAATGAATGGTTCGGTGCCACAGGCTGTAAAGGGTCAGTCAATTATCTTAGATAGGTTAGAAGTGAATTTTACTAGTCCTTGTCGCCGACGGCTTATCAGCAGCATGCGAGCTTGGTAGAGCTTCACGAAGAAAGTCCAGAAGAGAGTTGCCAACCCTACAAGAAGGGCACCATTGAGCGGTGAGAGATGTGCCATGTTCAGCTAACCCTCTCTCTTGCGAGCGGGATAATTAATCTGGGAGTTGTAGTAGTGGCACTTTGTATACAAGCAACAGAGCAATGAAGGAAGAAGCTCGAGCATGCGCCAAGGGACGTCACCGCCAGTACTTTGTAAATACGCCTTAGAAAAAGAAGGCAAAGGGATTAGGCAACCCCGTGCCGCATGAGAAGAAATTTAATCATGGCCGTACCGTTGCACTGGGTTCGCCCATTGGGGCGAGGGGCGGGGTCGCCGAGCCCCAATTGGGAGGGACTGAGGTTCATGAACACCGAAGCGGGTAAAGAGTGAAGAAGTATTGTTGAGCTTAATATAATTACAGCCGGAATGCCTAGCGACATGTGCCCACCTCCTTTATTGATGCGGACAGGATTCATCGACGGTCCCCATTTTCGTGTATCAGAATGGGAGGTGCAAAATCAACCAATGGTCATCATGCACTAAAATGCAGGCCCCAAGCCGTTGCTGACCTGAGCCACGCATTTGCCTCCATTCCATCCATTCTGTGGCACAACGTCTTGCATAAGCTGAGAAGGGGGCATATGGTAAGCGAATTAACAAGGTACTAAGATCTAAACAAAGTGGATTGCACGAGTGTATTGTAAGGTCTGAGGAGCTCGATAGAGCTCTGGGCTAACTATATACAGCACAAGAAAGGAGCTATGCCTAATAAGTGAATAGTGCAGTACATGGGTATGATATCGCGTGAGACACGTGCGACACACCCTCTTAGCTTTAACAAAGTAAATACTAAAGCAAAGCTGTACAAAAATAACTAATAGACTGCAGGTGTACAGTAGTGCACTTAAAAGTCTAAAGCAGCAAAAAAAGTTAGTAGGCTTAGGCTTTAAAACTAATGTTAGTAGAGTAAGCCTTTAAGAGATTACCTAGGCAGAAAAGAGTTAGTTGTTGAATAAACACTTAATGCTTTTATTAAGGTAGAAACTTAGTAAGGCTGTTAGCTAGCATGTCTGTAGTAGGGATCTAGCTTATGCAAATCCTTCTTTCTTGTACCTCTTAGCAGAGCTAGTGGTTGTAAATATTAACACGCTTGAGCTTAGTATTAAGCTTTAAGTCTTTTACTATAGTTTATATAGTTTATTAATTATTATATAGTAAAGTAGGCTTTTTTTTATAGTGTTAAAGTTTATATCTGTAAAGAACTACTTCTACTACTATAAGTAGCTAGCAGTGTAAGAGAGAGCTAGAAGCTTTGCTTTAGTTATTAATTTAGTAACTAAGCGCTGTAAGAAGGCCTTCTAATTAACAGCTACGCTAAATAGTATAACTAGCATGCTATAGAAGTTATAGTAACTAGTTTTATTATTACAATAAGTAGTATCTAATGCGCTATAAAAGACAAGTTTTTATTATAAATAAGTAAAGGTTTTTAAGTACTAAAGCGCATAGTCTTTAGTGCTATAAAAGTACTTAATTACATGCTAAGCAGCCTTCTAGAGTTTATCTAAAAAGCTAAATAGGTATTTAGAGAGCTTTAAATAAGCTTTAGTAACATTAAGTCTAATAGTAGTAGTAGCATAGCTAATAGAGCTAACGCGCTACTAGTATGTTATAATCCTTTGTTACAGTTAACTTAAACATGCCTTAGACTCTCTCTAGAGAGCCCTCAGCCTACCCTAAGGCACATGACGTCCCGTCACGTGCTCTAGCATACATATGTATATTCTTGTACAAACTTCTAAGTCTTCTTAAGGATTTGTCTATTAATACTATCTTCTACTCTCTTCTACACTTTATACTTCTTGCTTTATAATGCTTTTATAATTTAAATTTTTTATACTCTTCTATAAAAACGTAGTTAGTTTAAAGAATAGAAGAATACTTTTACTACTACTTTTTAAGCTCTACATTAATTAAGAGCTATAACAATAATAGCTAGTAGTAGTTACACACGTAAAAGCAGGACTACAGCTACTACCTCTTCTAAGGCTGTTCTAGAGACGCCTTATAACAACTCTAGTACTTAACTTCTTAAGCACTTTACATTCTAGCGCCTTAACTAAATTCTACTAAATTAAGAAGTATAAAAAGTAGAAAATAAAAAACACTAAGTTATAAAGTTAAAAAAGAAGTTAGACTTTAGAAACTGTTAAAAACATAGTTAAACTAAACCTAAAATTTTTTAAAGTTACACTAGATAAGAATTAATTAACTTTTTTATTACACTAAGCTTTTTAAGTTTTAAGACTCTAAGAACTACTAGTTAGCTTCTTATTAGCTACTTATAGTAACTGTTAGGAATAGAGGTAAACGCAATACGCTATAGTACTCTTCTAGAGTAGGCTTAAACTAGTTGTACTACTATCTTAGTACAACTCTTAACTAATAAAGTGTTAATATAATTACTCTTTATAAAAGGGTTTTAACTTTAAGCTAAAAAGCTTTAGAAGCTAACATTAGTTAAGCTTATAAATAAACCTAAATTACTTTTATAACTCTTAGCCTATTTTTTAAAACTACTTTAAATTAACTTTAATTCTAAGCTAGCTTTAATAAGATCTTAAGTTAGCTATTTAAGATTAAGGCCTTTTTAAAGATTAAGTTTTTAGAGAAGTCTCTAACTCTATAGTAAATAAACACTTACATAAGAGATATAAATAGTATTAAGAAATATATAAACGTTTTAGACAACTTTTCTACTTAAACTTAATAAATTATTAACTAGATTAAGTTTAAAGTTTATAAAAACTTAATTAGTTATGCTATTAATAAAGGTACTATTAAAACTTAAGATTAGCTTTAAACTAAAGTATATAAGCTTACTTAGAATTCTCTTTTAACATAGTATAAGAACTACTACTACTTTTAGAATATAAACTAAAAAGTAGGTAATATATTTAACACTTTTATTACTTAGCTATTTTAGTAAGAAGGCTTTTTAAAACACAGTTTTTTTTAAACTCTTAATAAAAAGAAACTTTATAAGATTAAAATTACCTTTATATAAAGCTACTGTTTAGAATTTATTTTTAAAAAAATGTAGCATACTAGCTTACTTAAGTCTATAAAAACTTAACTAGAGTGTAAGTGTGCTATATATAATACTAAAACTATTACTTACTTTAAGTAAGCTTTAATAACGCTCTAGGCTAGCTTTAAAAATGCTGTAACTTAAAAAAAATTCTAGTTCTGCTCTACTTTAAACTTTTAATAAAAGTAGAAAAATAAAAGATAAAAATAAAAGTTTATACTTTAATTACTAAGTAACTAATAGTTTTTAGAATTAAGAACTAATACTACAACAACAACATTTTAAAAGATCTCTAGTAAACATAAGCTTTACTAAAAAAAAAATTTAACTAAAAAAGTAATAATAGTATAAAAAAAAACCTTAGTTTTAAATCTTACACGCCTGTAACCAGAGCCTAAATTAAATAGTAAATAGCTTTATTTTATAGTTAGAGTGTAGCTAAAACTTTTTAATAGTAGATTAACTATTCTTTATAGCTTTTATAACATAGATGCTAAATTAAACCTAATAAACACTAGTATTATTTAAAAATATAGCCTCTGATATAAGCACTACTATAAGACGTCTAACATAGGCTTTATTAATAATTACTAATTATTAGCAGAGCTTGCTCTGCTTATTATATTCGGGTTTGCAGAACGAAAAGTTTAGCAGAATCTCCTCTTTTAGACGCGCTAGTTAGTCAGAATTTCTTCGGATAAACCCCAGTAACGCTGTTTCTCTGTTAGCTTATGTGTTTCTTATATTCTTTTTTAAAAAAAATGTATACCTAATGTAAGTGCACCTTTATGCTAATTTGCATGCAGTTTGCTCTAGCATGCGTTGTGTAAAACAT